ACATCAGAAAAGAAGTTTTTAAAAAGGGAGTATCTGTGTACAAAACAAAGCCCATTACAATTTCAACTTGTCAAAACGCACAGAAAATCATTCTTTTGCAATCCCCTTTAATATCAAGACAATAGATTTAAAAAAAGGGGCTTTTAAGGAAAAAAAAAAACAACACTGCTCACATAAGCCAGCACTTCTTGAGACCAGCTTCAACATTCTCTTACTTGAGAGAATTCCTAAGCGGAAGGCGTTATTTCAATTCACACTAAACAAAACCTATCAAGGGTGTTTTGTGAAAAAACAAAACACAATTTCTGCAAAACGCGTCTTTCATCTTAATCCCTTCCTTAAAAGAATTACTTGCGAGACTGCGAACCCAAGTAAGGTTCCCACAGTAACTGGTTAATGGAAGGGGGAGGAAGGGAAGCAGCAAACACCTCACATCGAGTAAGTCAGCTGGGTTTTAAGTTTTAGGAGTCTTCCATTAATTTTTGCTTCTTTAGAAGCAAAATAGTTGTGTTTCTCAAACTTGTCCCCAGCAGAGACTGTGCAACAGCCAGACCGCTTGCATATGGGCTTTAATATGGAAATGACAGTATTTCCTAAGCAAAGTGGAAAAACAAACACTCCCATGGGTTGCAGAGAGGCTTTAAGGGATAACACCATTCCCCAGCCCTCAGAGCTGAGATTTTAAACGATATTTCCCCAAATTCTCCCTCCTGCTGCCATGGCTCAGCCTCTCCGCACGCTCTTCATCCTATTCTCAGGCTGGGGGATGGGTGGGAACTGGGTTTCGCCAAGCCCAGCTCCATCCTAAAAGACTTTCTCTCCACAACTAAATCATCCTTTCCAAGGAGGGAACCTTCCACATCCCACCTCCATGCTCAGGCAGCCGCCTTCCCTCCGGATATTCCCACCACGCTGTGCAATCCTTGTGTAACATGTCCCTTCCCCCAGGCGAGCACCAAGCATACAAAGGAAGCCTTGCTCCATTGTCCACCTACAGCACCTATACATCCAGCCTGAAACCCGACTCAGTGTACACTGCTTTACCCCTTCTACAGCCCCAAATATTTAGGTGTCTCCATCCCCAATCCATAGTGTGTCATTTCCCCCTGTGCATTAGTACCTGCACCCAGAGCCAAATGTTTTGAAACGTATTTTAACCGTGTTTACTGGCATGAGATCAGCCTCACCCAAAACACATAAATCCCGGTTAAAAATCAGTTTAGAAAAAGAGCAAGAAATTACAGAAATAAGGAAGGAGGGGTTGCCTGGCTGCAAATCTCCTTCCCAAAGCTCCGATTCAAACTCAGGAAGGTAAAAACAACCAAAAAAAGGTAATTAACAATTCAGCACCTGCCATTTTTTTCCCATCCATCTCCAAGCAACAGCACCATAGCAACTTTTTTCCTGCTTTAATACATCTTACAAAAGGAGAAGGACTGGACAAAATAAGACCCAGGAATGTCAAATTTCCACTTTTGAGTGGCTATTCCTTCAGCTAGCTATGCCTGGAATTAAACAGCTGACCCCGGAGCGGGTTTGCTTTCCCCCCAAAACCCTGCCTTTGTACACAAACGCTGGGTCACGTAACCTGGACCAACGGACAAGACAAACCACCTTGAATGCCCAACCACCATCCCACGCGCTGGCACCCACGAAGTGGCGATTCTGGGGCTCAGGGGAGAAAACAAAACGGCGAAGCTCAATTAAAACAGGGCAATTTCTGTGTGCTGATGATGCCGAGATGGGGTTTTTACTCCTGCTGCTGCAGCAGCTCAGGCCGGGAGGATGAAGGAGACCCCCGGGGGTTTCCCCCCGCACCCCCAGGGTGACCCCTGCTCCGGGGCCCTGCCGCCATTTTAGAGACCAGTCGGCAGCACCCGCGCTGGCCGGGGTCGCTCTGCCACCAGGGAGGGGAGACACGAGGCCCCCCCAGGCCCCGGCAAGGGAGCAGGAGCTGAGGCAGAGCCCGGGGACCTTCCTTGCCCCCCCTCGGTGTCACCGCATCTATTTTTCCCATGGTGACTCATTATTAAGGACGCTCCGTCATTTTTCCAACGCAGGAAGATTAAAGGAAGCTTCAAAATCCATTTTTTTTTCCTTTGGAGGAGGGGGGGTGTGTAAAACAACCATGAGCTGAGCAGCCACGCTGGGTTCGTTACCTTCTTTTTTTCCCCCCTTAAAAAACCAAAAAAGCTTCCAGTGTGGGGTGCCAGGCACCAACTTTGTGCATTTCCCGAGGAAAAACGTGTTGCTGAGGGCAGTGGGGGAAGAAGCCTCCTCCTCCTCCCCACACGAAAAGACGAAGGGAGGAGAAAAAAAAAAAAAAAAATACAACCATGCAAACAGCTACTACTTCCTTATGAGCAGGATTAATCTATGCAACAAAAAAAAGGGAGGGGGAAGATAAAAAAAACCCAAACAGTATAACGAGGAGTCCAGAGTGCTTCCCGCGTGGAGGGCTCCGGGAGCGAGGTGTTTTCTTCGTGGGTTTGGGTGATTTTGAGTCACGTTTTTGCAGCTGCAGGCGCTTCGGTTCCCACCGTTGGCTGCACCTCGAGGGGACACACACACGCGCGCAGCATCCTCAAGGCCGGGGTGGCTCCAGATGGAGAAAAACTCAGTAAAAAGGGAGGGAAATAAAAAAAAATCCAAACATCGAATATTTTTTTTTAAAAAGTCAAGCAATGGAGAAGCAAGATGGCCAGGCTCAGGGCTGCCTCCGAGGCACCGCGCACCCTCCTCAGCATGAAATCCACTCCGTGAAGAAAGCCCAGCTCCGACACGCCGCTCCTCCGTCCTTTTGTAGTTTATTTTTAGTCATTATTATTGTTATTTTCCTCCGCTCCGGCAGGTCTCCCCGCAGGTCCGTCCACGCCGCCAGCCCTCTGCGGACGATCCTCGCCATGGCGCGGGGGTTATTTACAGAGATTTTGTTTTCCTCCTCCTCTCCACAGGCCGCGGGAGCCACCGTCCCCTCGCATTCTACCTCCCCCTCCCCCCCCCTTTTTTAATTTTTGATGGG